GAGGAAGAACCCCTCTGTGGTTTGAAACTAGTAGAACTTTTCTCAGAATATTCGCGTAAGTAACCCGCGATTTTAGTTAATTTTGTATGTCTCACGATAGTTATTATAAAAAATAGTATAAGATGTTCGTAAGAAATCATATCATATGGTGACGATGGAGTAGAATACATTTTGTGATTGTGACAAGTGCGATTTGCCGGGCAAGGGGTCTCGGGTTTGATTCCCGGGTCGAGCAAAACATTACTGGGTTTTTAAAAAAAATATCAATAGTAGCATGGGGTCTGGATAAATAATTATAAATAGTGAAAACACACATAACATTCATAATATTACGCCTTTTATCTCCGAAGGGGTAGGCAGCTGTGCACATTACGGCACTTAATGCCACTGTACAATGTAACACCCACTTTTCAAGTTATACATAGAGGGTGAGCTTATTGCCATATTCACAGCTTATTCACATTTTCAGACTCCGTGCCATTAATGAGATTTATTAAAAGCCCAGTAATGCTTTGATTGGTTGACACTTACAATAAAATATTTTTAATCAATAGATATTTTATTTCTAAGCAAGAACACTGTCCGAAAACAAATTATTAACATTTTAAAAGAATAACCACAATAATACTCTCGTCCTTAATGTAATTCCTTCAGACTTTTTAATTATTAATGCCTATTTGCTTACTTAGCTCTTTACCACTTTGTTTTTTTTACATGTTATCTGTGTTTCACATTTCATATAGTGTACAAAAAATATATAGTCTATCTAACAACCATCCCAAGTTATTCTGTAATTTAAATTTTCCTATGTTCGTATAGTTGGTAGCTTCAAGTTTGCCCCATTGCTATTGCTAAGTAGATTCATAGTAATCTGTGGCAACGTCGTGAGGAATGTATTTATTAAATCTATTATTTCAGTCACTCGAGTTATCACTACATAGTATAAAACAAAGTCTCTATCCGCCGTCTGTCTGTCCCTATGTATGCTTAGATCTTTAAAACTACGCAACGGATTTTGATGCATTTTTTTTAATAGATAGAGTGATTCTTAAGAAAGTTTTATATATAATACATACATAATGCACCCGTGCGAAGCCCGCGCGTGACGCTAGTATTTAATATACTGTTGTTTGTTGCCCTTGATAAATAAATACTTTCCTCGAATTGGGAATCAAACCTGTCTTGGTTCCAAGACAGTCAGGTACCAAAAAGGTCTAAAAACGGTTGTCCTTTTAAAATATTTCATGACAGCAGAAACTCTTCGCACGGTTATTGTAAAAGCTGACTGACGCCGGAATAATGAAAGGCTACTCAACTTTAAATTATACTTAAATATCGTGCCATCACTATTATTTTACAAAGAATTTGAAGCGACAGAACTATACTTACACGCGACTTAAAAATTTAGTGACATTTGAGCACCTAAAGGTCTACCTATGTCGCGGAGAACCTAACGGGTTACCGTGGCTCCGGCTCGACGTGCAGGAGAAGGAACGAGGTGGTTTTTAGTCAGTAAGAGTCTGACACTCCCTCCCGCCTCACCCAGACGGGACCAGTCATTCGATGATTTTCCCCCGTTAGAAAAAAAGGGTCTACCTATTTGATACAGACCAAAAAGTAGCACAAGTTTTATCATAATCATTGTTCGTATGGGTTCCGTAAGACCTGGGAATGGGACTATGCATATAACAAAGACCGAACAGTGAAGCTCTCTGATAAACCTGAACCATGTAAACTGCGATACCTATCCTGCTTGCTAAACATGAAGTTAGATCAAACCGTCTTATTTATTAAGTCCATTACGTTTTCGTTTGGCGCAAAACAACTTGCAATAAGAAGTACTTTCAATGTATAAATTAAAAACAAAAAAAAGATGTCATATTTAATTTTAAAAAAATTATATGGAAATACGTACATGAAGCACTACACGTAAATTCGTAGGCACTATTCGCATCGAACATGCGACATGACGAGAAATATCTCTTCAAAAATTACACGGCGTGATGTTTGGATAATGTACTGTGAGTTCGTATGTGCTTTCGAAGTTTGCTTATTGCAATAGTTCACCAGTTATTTTTTGTTTTAAATATATATTTTTTTACAAAACTATTGTATTACCAAGACAGAACCCTTTTACTTCAGGACGAAAACGAAATATATTTCACGGCGTACAGAGAGGAGTCATAGTCCAGTATTAGACTGTCCTGTACTATTAAGGAATGAATTTTATTATAGAAATTGCTCCATGTTCTAATGTTCGACCCTAAAATCGATAAAAAAAGGTTCCGAAAGGCACAACCATATTTCATTTTATGCCCAAACAATTCCTTTCTGCTTACATATTTAACATTAAAGGGACCTCTAATAAAGCAGGACCTTTGTAAGTCCAAGTGACATAATAAACTTTATTTGTTTTGTTTTATTTTGCGAATGAGAGTAATAATTGTACTTGACAACAATAGGTTTTTATTTTTATTTTATTGAATTGAGAATGTTATTTTGCTCAATATAATAAATGAGGTTTTATTTGTTGAAATAAATAATTAATGTTGCTCAATTTTGTTTGTTTTATTTTGTTGACATTAATAAATTGTGGACTGTTATATTTGTTTTATGAAATAAAATGTTAGAAGTCATAGTTTATTATTAACCCATTTGGATCCGCCGTCCCCATATGGGGACAGGTTTTCTTTTACCCGCTGGTTATTAATTATTTTAGCTATCTTCACATTTCATGGGTATTTATAATGAGGAGTAGTGTACTTTCCTAAAATTATTAGAACTTTTGACAAATTGCTACAAAAAAGGAGTCATATTGTCAATTTTATCAAAAGGAAGTGAAATGGGAATTATTATCGAAAGCAGAGGCGTTTTATAGTACGTTATTATGAAGATTTATAAAACTTTTTTGTGATTATTACTTGCTTATAGTGTCAATTAAAACAATATTGAAGAATATCTTTATACTTTCAATTCCGCTTAGGGGAAAGTTAGAAAAAATGATGGTGTCCCCGTATGGGGACAATGGGCACATCTGTAGTATATTTTTAAAACATTTATACCTGATTTGTATTTTGTTTTCCAATTTATAAAGGTCACCTATAGGCTAAACTTAGTTATAGCTAATACTTGGTGACAACAGACGCTAATTCACGAAGAGCATCACCAATTCCGCCATATTTTTAGGCGTTCATATTCTAAAATCCGGTGGGCATCAAGACCGAAGATGCAAAAGTACACCTACAGTACCAGGCGTCGCATCCGATATCAGAATTCAGCAGTAGGGGGCATTTCCTCCAGCTGTATTCTGGTGTCGTCAAAGCGAAGTCCACCCAGAGGATAGAGTAGCATTATGCCCTGTATATGTTGACCACCGCCGTGTCTTCAGGGAAGTGATCGACGACGATAATCTTCCACGTCCAGCTTAGGTTCTGGCTGTGGTGCGGAGCGAGGGGAACTGGAAAACATCTCTTTCTGCGAAGCAGTCATAGTAGCAAGAAGAGATCGCCGCCCAGAACCAGACCTGTACTTGTAAGGCGCGTGGCGCTACGCGCGTGCTTCAAAGTGCAGATCAGACCGCCTTAGATCGAGATGGCTCAGCGGGACAGATGCCCGACTACTATGAATAACCTAGTGGGTCACCGGGGCTTCGGCTTGAAGCAGAATTAGGAACGTGTTGGTTTTTAGCCAGTAAGAGTCCCCCAGGTGGAAAACGCAATGCATGATTTTTACCCTCAAAAAAAATATAGGCGCGTCACATCAAATTGATTTAGACATTTTCAGCAGAGATTTAGTTAATATCTGTTACGACACGCAGTTCGTCATAAAAAAAACTGTGATATCAATGCAAATAATGCGTTAGAACCTTATGTGTCGAAAACAGTTACTACTTCGAAAAGTACTACACATGAGCCCATTGTCCCCAATCAAGGACGGCATTTTTTTTAATACTTTTAAATATATTTTTTGATTTTTTTTTGCTGATATTATTTTGTGGGCGTCATATCATTGAGTTAATAAAGTTTTTTTTATTAAATTATGTGTAGTTTGCATTTGGTCCCAAATGGGTTAATATATATTTTGTGTTTTGTTTTAATTTTTTCATACTCTTGTACCTACCAATAATTTACATCAACACTACAGTACATTTTTAATGCCATAACTATCATCCAATATTTAAAATATATATAAATATTAGTTAATTCTATAAAAACACACTGGCTTGTTAACGAAATGGCTAGAGTATTTATATTATATCGTCCTAATAGTGCAGTTAGACTTCTAAGGGTAAAAAGATGTACCTCATGGCAAATTAGATCCTTAATTTTTTCTCACATACATATCATTAAAAATCATAATTTCATATTAACTTTGTTATTATCATCATCATCGTCACTTATCAATTTCAAATTTATTTACGCATTTAATTCGTTTAGATGGTTTTCGAAAATCGTGTGGTACTAATAATAAATTAACTATAGAATTTTTGGGATTTAATGTGTTATAAAAGTATGAACAAAGTTCAATTTTGTTTAGCAAATACAACGTGAGAGAAATCCTACTGTAAATGACGACACCATTGGGAATAAAACGCTGAAAACAATTTCATAACTGACACAATTTTCATGAATTGCTCTCAAATTACGCCAATATTATTAATAAAACAAATTAATTATGTCACATAATAAAAACAAAAATGAATTAATGTTTGTTCGCAAAACGATTATTTCATATAATATAATCCTTTAACCGCACACTTATTAATTTATAACATAACATCGTATCAGAACTTTGAAACAAGTTAAAAAATCCCTGTAATTTCATTAATGAAAAACAGACGACCGAAAATTTAAGGCTCGCACCTAAATATTTAATCAAACAAAGTACTTTTGGGGTTAAATTCGACCATACGAAAAATTAACTCGAAATTTCTATATATCACACAAAATGTGAGTTATTCCGACTTATTTTCGTACATAAACAAAAACTTATATACTCACTTATTACATAACAAATGTTGGCACGAAGAGATTTTCAGATGAAAATATTAAAAAAAAATCACAAACAACACTGTGTACAGAATGATAATATTTTGCTTCAAGACGATTAGAGAAAGACTTTTTTTTCACAAGAAAGAGTTTGGAAAGCGAGAGAGAAAATGCGAACACCCTGTCGCTACGACGTTCGGAGTGTGACTAACGTGTAGATGCGCGTAGCTGGATGCTACGGACGCTACGAACGCTACGAAATATCGTAGCAGTCGCTACGTCAATTCCAATATGATATCGGAGAGTGATATTTTAGATAGTGAACTTGTGTTGTATTGTGTTGTATGTGATGTTTTTTTGTGGGGGTGTGTTGTAGTGGTTGTGTGTGTATGTGTGTGTGAATAGTATACGAAAAAGTATTTTAAAATATTCTTATGTAAATAATATCAAATATAGTGGTTGTAAAACAAAAACACCTTTGAAAGATGTAGTTTTTATGCAGCTTTTTGTAGCAGAAGGAAATATATTTCATTTTAAATATATCTACGTTAGTTCCGGTGCTTATTCTCATAGTAGCCAGATAGGTAATACAAGTCTAATCCTGTATAGATTTAGAATATTAAGGGGTACAACAATCACTTTGTAGGTTTTTTACTGAAACCATCAAAATCATTATTCTCATTTAATTTAGTAACGAAATTAAAATAGACTTTGCCAAATTTTTATTATTGAATAAGAGACACATAATCAAGCTACGTAATACCTATTGCTAGGAATTTCACAAATCACAATACACAGTGAACATTTATCTACTCGAGAATCAAACTCTATAACACTCAAACAAAAAACACACACAAAAGAGTCACATTTCCAAAAATAGAACACGTATACCAATAATAATTTGCAAAGGCACAATCGTGGGCATAATAAATAAAACAAAAAACAAAACAATTGTGTTACAAAAACAATATTGCCACTGAAAAACAATAACTCGATACTTTTGATATTCCACAGAGGGATTAATTTTTATAAGGGGCTTATTAAAATTGGGGATATTATTGTGTTTCGGGACATTTTCAGGATATTTTTAACTGACTTCCAAACGAAAAAAGTTGTTTACAGTTTGACCTGTATCTATACCTCTACATACATACATAACATCACGCCTTTTATCCCCGAAGGGGTAAGCAGTGATGCACATTACGACAATTAATGCCACTGTTAAATGTAACATCCACTTTCCACTATTTATGTTATGATTCCCATGTAATAGGGGGTGAGCCTATTACCATATACCGGGCACAACTCCAGACTCCGTGCTACTACTGAGTATTTTTAAAAACCCAGCAATACTTTGCCCGACCCGGGAATCGAACCCGAGACCCCTTGCCCGGCAGTCGCACTTGCATGATAGTTAAATGCGCTGGAGTTGCAGACAACCTTTCGGTAAACCGTAGTACCAGGGATCCAGCTCAAAGCAGAAGTAAGAACAGGGTGGTGTTTAGTCGGTAAGAGTCTGACACTCGGATCTCGCCTCACCCAAGGCGATAAAAGTCGCCTGCGAACGGCAAGCATGGGTAGCTCACCGTCCGATCAGAAACAGACCCGAGTGTAAGGCACGTCGCGTTCCACGCGCTCCTTAAAAAGCCATCAGACCACCACAGATAGGGCCCAATAGAACTGATACGGAGCCGCGGAGAACATAAAAGGTTACCGGGGCTCTGGCTCGAAGTGTAGAAGTAGGAGCGGGGTGGTTTTGAGTCAGTAAAAGTCTGACACTCCCGCTTCACCCAGGAGGGATAAGTCTTTAGATAATTTTCCCCGCTTAAAAAAAATTGCATCTATATATTTATCTACTGCTAATCGACAATCTCATACGATTTTCTGTTTTATTGTCAATTTATTTATTACCACATAAAAATTTACAATTTTGTGGTCGTTACGGTTTTATTTGAGCCATAAATGCATCTTGCTTCGAACGTACGCTTCTACTAGAATTATTTTGCAAATAAATGCTTTATTGTCTTGAGTTACAGTTGTATTTTGTTTGACTATTTTCTGTATTATTGCAACGAAATAAGATTGCAAATCTGAGCTTTATTGTATGGCGATAAAGTTGTATTTTGTTTGATTACTTTGTATATTATTGCTGATCAATGTGGATGCGTGAAATCTGTGGAAAATTATTTCTATTTGTCATTTTATATCGTCACGTCTTGTTAGTTGAGAAGGGATGGATGCAGTTAGGCTAAAAAAATATAATTATATTTTGCAAACCTTGTTGTGATGGGGGATGACTTGATTGACATGGCTGAACTCATAGACGTATAATAATATAAAGTTCACGCTTTTTAGGGTTAGCCAGAAGTATACCTATGTTTGTAATGTCATCGAATTTGCACCACCTATGTTGTGAACCCCGTGTTATTGGTGATGAATCTATTGCCTACACCGGGTGTCCTTCTAGACTTCGTGCCTATGAAAAATACTCGTAAACTGAAAAATCCCCAACACTAATAGACTAACCCAGAAATCAACTCCAAAACAATACTAGGCTACGGGCCACGGGTGACTCTCCGCCTGACCAGAACCAGCCCCGAGCTCACGGCGCGTCGCGTTTCACGCGCGCCTCATGGAGCTATCAGACCACCACAGATGGGACTCAACAGGGCTGATGCTGATACGGAGCCGCGGAAGACCTAACGGGTTGCCGGAGCTCCGGCTCGAAGTGCAGGAGTAGGAACGGGGTGGTTTTTAGTCAGTAAGAGACTGACACTCCCTCTCGCCTCACTCGGGCGGAAGAAGTCATTGGATGATTATCCTTCTTCAAAAAAAAAGGTTGTCATATTATTTACGACCACTGGACCTAAGGAACAATAATGAACTATGAAAATATAAGTAATATAATCAGGAAAGAACAGCTGTTTTCTCGATGTATTTTCATAATAAATGTCCACTCTTTAAATAGACGATAAATTCCAGTATTTTCAGTGTCTACATTAATATTACAATTGCACAAGTCTGAATGTTTGTTTGTCCTTATATTGTAATTACATGACAGAATAGATTTAAATCAAATTTGGCATAATGTCCATATATATAAAAGAAAGTCGTGTTAGTTACACCACTTATAACTGAAGAACGGCAGAATAGATTTGGTTGAAAATTGGTAGGCAGGTAGCTTAGAGCCAGGAGACCGAGATAGGATACTTTTTAAACCAATACTTTTTTTTACTTTTTACCGAAAATCACGAACGAGGACGGGAAAAATGGGATTACGCGTACGAAGTCGCGGGCAGAAGCTAGTAGGTTATAATCGGGACTGAAATAATATAAGTAACTTTTAATTTGACAACACGGTTTGCGGTTCGATTCCCGCACGGTGCAACTCTTTGTGTGATTCACAAATTATTGTTTCTGTGAACTTGTATATTTTTAAACGCACCCAAAACACAGGTCAAAACCCTAGTGCGGGGCGACGTTTACGTTTAGAAGAACAAATAACTATGAGAAAATTTACGATATTCATACGGTATTTATACGACATGGGACAAGATACATAGCATACGAGCAAATGGATTAGATATTTTAAGCATTTTTGTAACATATAACATAACATCAGGCCATTTAATCCCAAGGAGTAGGCAGAGGTGCACATTACGGCACTTAATGCAGTACAATGTAACACCCATTATTGTTTTGAGTCCCATGTAATAGGAGGTGAGCCTATTGCCATATACCGGGCACAATTCCAGACTACTCCTACTATTGAGAATTTTTTAGCAAACCCAGTAGTACTTTGCCCGACCCGAGAATCGAATCCGAGACCCATTGCCCGGCAGTCGCACTTGCGACCACTTGGCCAACGAAGCTCATTAAGATATCTCCAGCAACCTCACTCACACGGCTACAGATAACGCAAGCGTTGTTTCACGTCAATTTTCAGTGAGGCCGTGGTATCACTCCCGTTGAGTTAGCCTAGCATTGTCAAAGCCTGGCTCTCCAACGAAATAGAAAAGAAAAAGGAGTTTATACTTATTTTTAACACAGATGAAGTCGCAAGTGAAGCAAGTATAGAATATTTTTTTTCCTTATTTCATTCTGAGCTTATGAATATTAAGTGGGAAATATTTATAGCAAGTTTTTTTGCGAAAATATTATATTAAAGATATTTTGTCTTTACTTTGCGAATAATTTCATAATAGGTTGTATTTTGTGGAAAGGTTAAGTATTTTTCAAATATACTATATCTTAGGATAAGTGTGGGAGATCCATGTACTGGCACAAATGGGCCGGCTCGACCGGAGTAATACCACGGCCTCACAGAAAATCGACGTGAAGCAACGCTTGCGTTGTGTTTCGTCGTGTGAGTGAGGTTATCGGAGGCCCAATTACCCTCCCCTTCCCCAATCTCCCCAATTCCTGAATCCCCTACGATCCTCAAACTCCTGATCCCCAATAAGCCGGTAACGCATTTGTAAGCGTCTGGTGTTTCAGGTGTCCATGTGCGACGCCGAGTGCTTACCATCAGGTGATATCCGTCTGCTCGTTTACCGGCTTACGTCATAAAAAAGAGTCTAACGCCCGAATATACGAAAAAATATTAATATATAGAGTCTATCGCTTATACCACGGGGATTGATCTGAGGAATTATTTGACCTGATACCTGCCGCATCTTTTCGCCATCGACCCTCATAATAGTATATGCATCCCCACCATATAGATGGTTGGCAGGCCACAACTGTGCGCTTCTCACGTAGCTTCCTGCCTCGTACAACAAAACTGTGGATTGATTTGTCGTCAGCGGTAATTCCGAACCGATACGACCTTCAAACCTTCAAGAAAGAGCGTATTCCTTTTTAAAAGGCCGGCAACGCACCTGTGACTCCTCTGGTTTTGCGAGTGTCCATGGGCAGCGCTTATCGCTTACCATCAGGTGATCTGTACGCTGGTTTGCCTCCTATTCCATAAAAAAAATACTGAATTCGAGCTACCACGACATTTTTTTACTGTAATCACTACATAGTATAAAAAGTCGCGATCTGCCGTCTGTCCTATGTTTGCTTAGATCTTTGAAACTACGTAACGGATTTTGATGCGGTTTTATTTAGTTAATAGAGTGATTCTTAAGGAAGGT